CATTCTCCTCAAATTATTTATTTAGAATCTATTCATTGATATGTTCTTTATTAGTCATAGTGAGTTAAAGTGCCTCATGTTGTTTAGTACAATATATTTGCCAGGACAATTATCTGTCAAAGTAAATTGGTCTCACTAAAATGGCCATATACAGATTTACCATAGATTTTATAGTCATGATATAAGTTTTGATTAGTGGATCATAACCATACTCCATATTTATTTTAAATCATGATCCATTTTGTATTTAAGAGAACAATTACTAATTGATCTTCATTTCATGTCAATGGCTTTGACACATAACATTTGGAAGGAAATTTCCCTTAGAGCTTTTTTTACCAAAAGTCAAATGAACATGGAATTGTTGGAGGAATATATTGAACATTATTTTTATTACATTTAAAAGATTATTGTAATTTAATATGATGCTTTAAAACACAAGAGCCCAATTCCCTTTTCTGGTTGAACTGTAACATTTGGGGCACTTTTAGCTTTTTCATGTTTTCTGTCATTTACAATGTGTGTAGATTTAAATGCACAAGCCATAGATTTCATATCCAATTAATTCAGAAAGCAAAGAAGAGTCTCTGGGAATTGTTTCCAGTGAGGTCATTTCAGTCTTCACAGTAGAGTTCATACTGGTGATTAGCCCTGTGTGCCACAGTTGTAAGTGAGGAGGAAAGTACATCCAGAAAGAATACACCCAGAAACCTCTCCCACATGGGTCATAAATTAGAGCTGCTTCTTCTCTTTGAGATTTATAACCATACTTGAGTCTTCTTTTTCTAACAATTTTTGTTTAATTGCCCCATAGTGCATATATTGTTCAGAGACATTCACACATCTGTGTAAATGTAACAGTCCTTGTGTAAAAATATATATTCATAAGTATCTATTTTGAATACTAAATATCTAAGAGTCCCTCAGTACTAGACTCTACTTTAGCACAATAAAACCATAGCTTCATAACTTGATAAATGCCCATAAAAGTACTTATTTCAGTAAGCACCAAATATTAGTTTATACATATGCTAATAATTATGTGTTCTTCTGTTACAGATGTAATTTTCATTTGGGGGTAGTCCCTTTCATTAGTGGGTTGATAGGAGCATTATACCTGCAAGTGACTAAATCATTCACTTAGAGCTAGAATTGTGAGCTGTCCACCCTGGCCACTAGCCACAAACCACTTACTTTGCTGGTCATCATTTTCTTTCACTGATCATACTTTTCCCTAGAATTAGCTTAAAGACCAAATAGCCACATTGAGCAGAAAGTCTCATGTTTCAGTTCATAAATCATATGCCATTCTGTACATAAGAGAGCAGTACTTAGTTAACTCCATAGATTTATTTAGGTAAGAGGCCAATGTCCTGGCAGATGTTTCCAGAAAATGTGCTCACCTTCTAAGTTCAATTCATCAACCCCATGATACTTCATCACCTACTCTCCTGAGAAAACAACATATTCTCAATTTGTAGACATTTTAATGCAACATAATTTTTACTTAATATTCTTTATCGTAAAATTATGAAGTAAGGAACAACATAAATGTGTTTTAAATGCTACCACTTAATTCATATTGATACCACCTCACTATAAATTAGTTTGACATTATATGATAGCAGTTTTCTTTTGTTCTTTGTATTTCTGGAATATGTTACTGTTTTAAATCTTAACATAATAGACTAGAACAATTGTCCTACAAAGAATACATAATGAGAAGGACTTCAATTTATATAAATTTATAGTAATGGCAATATTTTAAGATTTGAACTGTAAGTTCAATGTCATCATGAAAAAGCATCGAACAAACTCAAATAGGGAATCATCCTTAAAAAAATTAGTAGCTAGTAGTTAACGTGGGTGTCAGTGGCGTTGCATTTGTTCCTCAAAGCTTTTAGGTGGAGTTGGCCTTAAGCATGTTGACAGATTTTAATGCTGTATATTTGGTGAAATCAAGATTGTAGGCTTGCATTTATGACTTAGTTTATATTAACTCATTACCAACTCTGCATATCATGCCAGATGTGTACAGCTTGTCTAGATTTTGAGTAGTAGCAATGGTTTATCAACATACTAGTTTTCTGCAGACCTTGTGCATTTAATCCCAGTTCACACATTCTAGCTATATAAATTTAGTGAATAGAGCAATGTGTTTGCTGAGCCCTAGTTTCTTGAAATGTAGAATAGTCATGGTGATACTTGTTAATTATGACAAGAATTATAAGTAGCAAGCATAAAATTCCTCATTCTATATGGCAATATTCTGTTTTGTTTTACATTTTTAGATGTTTTCTGAGACACATTGTGATTATATAGTCCAGGCTAGCCTCAACGTCTCAGTCCTCCCACCCTGGCTTCTCAAATGCTGAGGTCACAATTATGCACAACCACACTGAGCTCAATGACAGGATTTTAAAAGTTGGATGCTAGTTGTTGAGGACTTTCTGTGATGTCATCTTTCTGGATTGCTGCATTCACCAACCCTACAGTGTAAACAAAGGACAAGGTAGAAGAGGCTAAATAAATTCCCTCTCCCTACACATACTTATTCTGTTCTCTTGTAAGAATTACTTACTTACGTTTTTCACTAAATTTTAAATTCTTCTCGACATTGGTATGTTGTGTTCAACACTTATGCTTAGAGACAGTGAGTATTTGTGGAAAATCAGAAGCTCCATCCAAAAATTGTTTATCAATTTGGGGGCTTTTTGGACTACTGGAGTTATAAGGAATAGTGTGTAGAAGGAAAAAAAAATGAAAAAATTTGGCATCTTTTTGGTTTTTTTAAGTAATAGTCACTATTTACCTTCACATCATTGTATCTGAAAATTGCTATTTTTAACACCAGGGGATTACAAGGATTCACTAGACAATTCCTGAAAGAGGAGTAAACTTAACTTTACCAGAAAACAGTGCCAACTTCCATCTGGAATGGCATTGCAGCACACTCTCAGTAATGTTGATGAAATTTCTAAATGATATTTGATAGGGAAATTGGGACAATATGAAATGGCAATTCACCTATTTTCCAAGGTGGAAATTACTAGAATGACTTTTCCTGGATAACACTTCCAAATAAATGGACTTAATTCTTATTCTTATTTTCTGTATCTTTAAAGAAAAAAGTCACTAAGTGTCTTGGCACATTATGGTTCCCAGCTGGGACTTATTTAACATTTTTTTCTTTCTTTTCTAAGTAAATCTCTGAAAGAATGAACATATTAGAAAGCAAGAGCTACTGTAACTTTATTTATTTTAGAAACATGTTTGGAGAAGGATTGCTCCAGGCTGATTTAAGAAGAAAAATAAAATTAGAAGTCAAGTATCTCATGACACAAATTTGTAGCAAATTTGATTTGAATATAGCTCTTGTCTCATAAATTCAACAAAATTCAGTTTCTTAAATTTTACACTGAAGCCAAAAAAGTGCCTTACACATTATTCAAGACATGAAAATTACTTCAGTAACAAAATAGTGAATCTATAAAAAGTATTTTTATTGGAATAAGAGCAGTCGATACTGTTATCTCTAGAAATGGGGGTGTTATTAGCAAATGGAAAAGACAATAAAATTCAGCAACAATGTTTCTATTTTAAATTTCACTAATTTTAAGAAGCTGTGGGATAAATTACAGCAGCCTTTGGGAAAGTAGAGCCATAAAATTAGGAGATGGAAAAGATTAAATCAATGATGTGAGCTAAGCTAGACACTTGATGATACAGGAAACTCCCTTGTAAATCCTGCCTGCATGTGGTGCCTGTTGTAATAATTCAAATTTCTGACTGGTTCTATCATTACAATTCTATACTCTCTCCTTATTTTTATGCTAAAGTTTTAATTTCCATTCTATACTTGTGGGGGGGGGGAAGATGCCTTACTATTCTCTTTTTAATCAAATTTTACAATAGTAGTGTTAAAAAGAAATGTTATTTTCCATTATAAAACAATTTTGTAGGTAAATTTGCCAGTTAAATTCCTACATCCAAATAAAATAGTAAATCAAGGAATATGTTTGTATAGGAATAAAAATTGGAAATGCTGTAAATTATAAAAATTAATACTATAATTTCTCAAAATTAATTATGGTTTTATTACATAGTGGGGTTAGTTTTACTTTATCAGAATTCTTTGAAAATATATTGGACTCCATGGAAATGAAAACATATACAATCAAACTTTTGAAAAGTGATTTAACATATTGACTGTAGTAATTAAGAAACTCCATAATTCATATTTAAGCAATAATTTAAATGACTGAAATGGAATTTTTAAATATAGCTCAACTCAATATGAGTAAAAGGCATATGAAATCAAGTTTGTACTGTGTAGTTTTACAATGTAAATTAGTCTTGCAAGTTTTAATTTAGTTCATAAATAGACTAATAATTCCTCATAAGTTTTCACATTCTAAAAATATTAGAAAATGAAAGGATGTAGATATCATTTCTGAGAAGTGTTAATGATAATAGCTAAATATTTTTGAACTATCAAGAACTAAATTTGGTATATCACTTATGAAAATAGTTATAATTGGCAGCATATTATCAATGAATAAATACTGAAGTGTCAACACAGAGAAGACTATCAACAATAAGATGCATGCTAAGCATATTTAAATGAAAAACAGCAGTTCAACTAGAGTGCACTGGTCTGATTTTATTTTAAGAGAAGTTTTCCACCTTTTCAGATTATAGTCATTTAAAATTAAGCTATATGAAACTAACTTAAGTAGAGAATTTATTGAAACTAGAAAAAGACTATTTTTTACATTTGAGAGGAAAGGTGTATTTATTTAAACAAAATAAAAATATTTGCTAAAAAAAACTTGGATAGCTCATTTTCTGAAGTATATTCTTGATTTACCAGTGGACAAATATATAAAGAGAGCTGTTTTGAAGAAATGCCATTAAAAATAGATCCCACATGAAATTATATTCATGCAAATACGAAACTGAACATGGCAGATATGTGGGTACACAGTATTTACCACAGTCACTGTCTGCCAGAAACTCTTCAGGTGGTTTGGTTTCTCGGTTGCAGCTGTTATGTGCCAGCCCTGCTCTTCTTCAGAATCTTGAAACTTTGACTCAACTCCTGGCATCACTGGTATTTAAACACAGAGGCTCGTATGAGTCTATCTTATTGAATACAAGGTAATCTTCCTAACTTTAGAAGATCCTTGAGAAAATTAAATGTGAAAATGTCTGAAAATGTAGCACAATACTTACACATGAATAAGTCTTCAGTGGTTAAAGTAATCACTGTAATGAAGTCATCTCTTCTCCAACTATTTCTATTTTTTTTCCATTCATCATTCTGTTCTGGTACAGGGTGATCTTCCAAACTCTGTAATATTTGCTTAGTGACAGTAAAAAAGATGACTGATGTAGATTTAAAACTATTATCTCAGAAGGAGCAAAGGTATTTTCATTTGCTACCTTTTCATCTATACTTTACCAATCTATATACTTTAATTTGTCAAATATATAGACAATTGTCTTGAGTATTTAACCAGAGACCAAAGAAGCCCAAATGTTTCCATAAACTTATAAAACATCAAGGAAACCCATGAAAAATTCAAGTGTAGGGAGGCTCTAGTCACACCTAGCTCTCCCATCTCTTCCTTATGTAACCAAACCTATTACCTTTTTAACGCATAAAAATACCAGTGATAAATCTTACTAACATAAGAGTTTTTTTCTTCTGTCTTTCATGTTTAGATTTTCCCCTTAATGTTCTTAATGATAAAAGTCATGATACAAGTGTCAAATAATACAACTTTAATTCTTTTAATTATTTACAGCTTCAAAAGGAAATAAAGGCAATTACCAATAAGTGGGCACAGAAGGTTTCTTCAGGACAGCAGACATGCTAGTTCAGGTATTTTCCATTCTAGGATCTGCTCTTCCATCACGCATCTCCCTAGTCTTGCCTCTTGTTGCTTACAAGTGGAAAGTAAGAAATGGCTTCACACACGTGGAAATACAAATGTGATTTTAATCCTGTAATAATAAACAAAGCAGTAGTGGTATGAATGTGAACTTCTAGAAGACTAACTAGGATACTGGGTCTTTTATCTTACCAGTGGCAACCAAGATAAAATCCACAAGGAACAACTCACTTCATCAGGGACTCATTTTGCCCTAAAATATTGGTCAGTTATGGTAATGTCTGTAGAAGAAAACATAAGACTAGGCAGTTTCTTGTAACACCCTTGATTTAAAATGCCAATGCATACACATGAAGAAAGTAATTCAAGAATGAGACGAGAGATGTGCATTCTGTTGTATATGTTTTAAACTTTGCCACCTCATTTAGAATTCTGTCAATCATCCCATATTTATTTATTCTTCACTTTGTTGAGGAATTGAGCTAGAGATGAAAAGAAACTACTTTTGTCTGTGTCAAAGGAGCTTGATCAGTAAACTCATTAGTCAATGTGTCCTATTTTTCCCATGAAATCTTTTCTTTTCACAGTCTCTACTACTAGAATATCAGATCATATCAGGCATTCTCCTTACCCCCACCACCACACACACACATACACACGAACACACACAGATGCACACACATGTGTGTATGCACATACATGAATACAGGCACATGCATGCACACACATACGCACACAGACAGTCACACACATGTGCACTCACATACACAGACACACAAACATACATACATATCCACATACATATGCACACACACACACAGTTGATTAGATCAGGTCTAGACACTTCTCTCAAAAATGGGCCACTCAGATCCTATTTTCCAACCATGAATTTAAGACACAGAAGTTCTACAACTTGGGGATATCTTAGGAGATCACATAAAAATGGGCTTGGAGTGGCTGTGTTGGACTTTTGTAAATGCCACACAGAAAAACCTGCTCCTTAGAGAAACAGTAATAATTCAGTACAGAGTTGAACAACTGTTCCTGCAGAGGGACTGCAAAGGGAAGTAACTCTCTTGAATCTTGATAGTACTCTATTTCCTTGGTCCAGCCTCACGCAACCTTTCCTTAAGATTTTCTCTTGTGCGGGACCGGTTGGACTCTGTTTCTGTTTCTTGCAACCATTGGCTAAGGTACAATATGAGATGATTCTTCTATCATTTCAAAATAGTTTTATTTTATTTTTGAGATTATAATATAATTACCTCATTTTCCTTTCCCTTTCCTCCCTCCCAAACCTGTCATCTGCCCCTCCTTGCGCTTTTTCAAGTTCACAGCCTTTTTTATTAATTGTTGTTACATGCATATATGTATATTGCATGCATATATGTTGTTACACACATACATATTTCTAAATGTAATCTGCTCCGTCTGTATAATGTTACTTGTATGTATGTTTTCAGGGATGAGCATTTGATATTGGATAACCAATTGTGTATTCTTTCCTGGGGAAGAATATTTCTCCCTCTCTTAATAGCCCTTGGTTGCCTGTAGTTCTTTGTGTAGGGTTGAGACCATGTGTTCCTCCCCCCGCATCAACTTTGGCATGTCTGTTGTTGGTGTCCTTGTTCAGCTCATGGTTAGGCGATCACGTTGCTGAAACTATATGGGTGTAGCTTCTGCTGTTCCTGAGAGACAACTGTTATTTCTTTTCTTGTTTTTTTTTGTTTTTGTTAATTTGTTTGTTTATATTTGTGTAAAAGTATGTGGGCTGTCAGCAGCTTACCACACACACACACACACACACACACACACACACACACACACACACACACACACACAGTCAGGGAACAACTTTAGGAGTTGGCTCCCTCCTTCCACCTTGTTGAACCAGGGTCTATCTTCCTGTCCTTCCCTTCACAGCAGTGCTTGGGTTACACTTGTATTACTTCACTGAATACAGCCTTTCTTGTGATTTCTGGGAATTGAATGAGGTCCTCAGACATGGACAGCAAGAGTTTTTATGGGCTAAGCCATTTTGCAGCCCCTTAGTCTCATTTTGAAAGTAAAGCTTGCAGATATAGTTACTACCACTAACGTAGTAAAATATAGTATATGACTATTTTTAAATAATACAGCCATTTGAAGTGTAAATTTAAAAATGCCAAATGAAGAATGAACTTAAATGATTCAGAACATTAACATGATGTGAAAACAAGAAAATTCTTATAACCACACTAAAAAGAAAATGTTATAAATTGGGTCCTATTTTCCATTTTAAAACTCTCACATAATATTTCACATTTATGTAGAATACTAATTGTTTACATAGTGAACACATGATGAGTGTCTTAGTTACTCGTCTTTGTTTTGTTAAGACATCATGAACAAGGCAGCTTATAAAGGAACATTTACATAAGGCTTACAGTTTCTGAGAGCTAAAAGCCATCATGGCAGAAAGTATGGGAAGCAGGCAGGAATGTGTGGCACTGGAACAGCAGCCTCCCCCAAACAAGGCCACATTTCCTAATCCTTCCCAAACAGTTCCCAACTGGGAACCAAAAATGCAAACACATGAGCCTATGGGGACATTCTCATTCAAACCACCACCTTACATTTCCTTTTATATTAAAGTATTTGACAAGCTGTGGTCTGAGTAGTCCAGCAATGGATGTGTCCTTGTGGAAAAGCCATGGATCAGTTAGTTTTCAATTCATGAGGCTGAATATCTCACTAGTCCCAATCTGGTACTGACCTTCTAGGGAAGCCCTAGAGAGCTGCTAGTATTCAGTCGATATTGGATTCCAGATGAAGTTAATTCTAACACCAGTAAAGCAATGCCTTGGGGAAAGGAAAAATGAACTTGCTGGCAAGAGTAAGTATATGCCGGCAAAAAGCAAAAGTTGTTTCCATGTTCTATGTCATTTTGTATGGCTGCCAGCAGAAGGTGCAGCCCAGATGTAGGGCGGGTCTTCTCACCTCAAATGATACAGTCAAGAAAATCCTTCAGAACTTTACCTAGCTGCTTGGGTTTGTGAATTCCGGATATAGTCAAGTTGACAACCAAGTTTAGGATCACATCTAACTTGGTCCCTATCTCTCACCACATGCAATAAGTGGATAAAAAAATGCATCAAAGTCAATTCATCAGGTGAAAAGATAGCCTAGAGCATGGGATAAAACCTTTGCCAACTCTGCCTTTGACAGAGGAATAATATATAAACTATATTAATAACTTCAAAAGTAAATTCCAAATATCCAAACAATCCAATAAGTAATTGGACAAATGAAATGAACAAACAACTTTCAAAAAATGAGGTTCAGATATCTTGTAAGTATATGAAAGGAAATTCAACATCTTTAGCCATCAGTGAAATGCAAATCAAAAGTACATTGGGAATTCCATCCCAACCCAGTCAAAATACCTATCATCAAAAGACAATAAAAAATATTGGTGTGAATGTAGATAAAACAGAATAGTTATATACAGGTGGTGGGACTGTACATTAGTCTAGTCATTATATAAATGAATATGGAGGGTTCCCAAACAACTAATAATGGAACTACCATATGAGCTAACTGTACCACTCCTGGAAGAATACCTACCTATAGTAATCTAAGTTAACATGTTACAGAAAGAAATATACATCCATGTTTATTGCAGAACTATTCATAATAGCTAAGTAATAGAGTCAAACTTGGTGCCCATCAACAATGAATAACTAAAGAAATGTGGTACATATACATAACAGGGTTTTATTAAATTCTAAAGAAAAATGAAATTAATTTTCAAGGAAATGGATGAATCTATAGATCTTATTAAATGGAATAAGCCACATTCATGTATTTTCTCATATGTGATCATATTTATAATTGATATATTATAACATGAATGAAAGAATCCTCCATGCCTAACTATTTGGGAAAAAGAAATTAGTGAAAAGGATAGAGAGAAGAGAGAGTAGGATGGCAATCACAATGAAAGTATATATTATAAACTTGGGTGAAAGTATCTTTATGAAACCCATCACTTTATGCAGGAATATATTAGGAACAAAGTAGGCTGGAGTCTGAGTTTCTATTTCATGAGATGGGGAGAAAACTTCTTGTTAAAAATGCTTCTTTTTCATCCTCCTCCAAAAGCCCCCATAAGCCAAATGAATAAATGAATGGAAAAAATACCAAAGTACAATAAAAGTGAAAGGAAATAAAGACGCTGAAAATCTGTAATGAAATTCTTTGAAAGAGAGAAAGAAGACAAGCTTGGTGCTTAGCAATTGATACTGTAACCAGGGTGCTTGCATAGGAGGACGTTCATGAGAAGTGTGCCTGCCCCCTTGCTTTCTTATACATAACTTGTTTTTATTTAATTTCTATTAAGAAGCCTCAAACAGCTTTAGACTTATAAGGCCCAAGTACTTGGGGGTGTTGTTGTAAACAAAGAATGGCTGAAAAAGAGTATGTTCCCAAGATTTGTTTTTGACCAAATTCCCGAGCTAAGCAATTCCTTTCCTAAAATCAACTGAGAATGTTCCAGAATTCTTCACTGTCCTGCTTTACTTTGGGTTTTCTTCCTTCTGAATGATGAGCATAAAAACACATACAAAAGGAAACCCTCATCTGCTACTATTTGTGTGGGAAGGAGCATAGATCTACCCTATGTTGAGGACATGGAAGTATGAGTGAAATTATCTCTGGGAACAAAAGTCTGGAGGAAAATGCACAAGGGAGGAAGAGAGATATGGAGAAGGAACTATACTCAGCACACTACATATATATATATATATGAGAATGTCCTTGTATAACACAGTACTGTGTATAATGACTATGAACAATGAATTTTTAAAAAGACCCTTTGACTAATGTAACTTTAGAAGCCACCAAAATCACAAATATAGCAATTACTAAAACAACACTTAAGCAGAACTCTCTTGAAACTCCTAAACGCTGTCTTGGGTTTGTCCTGTCTGTTCCTAAGTGTCTCACTCTCCCATAACAGTCATACTTAAATTCTGTTTGCGCATTCCTTATTTTTTATTATTTTACATGAGTGTATGTATGCGTGCAGCTGGGCATGTGCAGAAGTCACTACTGTCCTTTTGCTGTGTGCATCCCAGGAACTGAAGTCAGATCATCAGGACTGGTTAGCAGGCCCATTTACTCACTAACCTATCTCCTCAACCTATTAATCTTTTCTTAAAAAAAAAAAAAAACACTCAACACTGGCTTCAAAAAACAAAAACACGGTTGCTACTCCCTCTTGAACTTTGTAAATCTTCCCCTATTTTCCAAATATATCATTAACACAGCTGCAAACAACTGGTCCCTTTTGAACATAGTGGTTCATTTTTAGTCCTCATGTTACTTCAGCTGTATTCATTCAAACGGTGACTTCTAGGGCACCCTATTTCCTAGTTTGCTTCCTGTACTGCAGTCCACTTCTCAAAGCACTTTATCTGTTCCTCCAACATTTCTTTGACCTGTAAATATTAAAAGACTCT